TTCGTTTCATGTAACGCATGTGTATGCTTAATAAAATTATGAAGCCATTGCACAAATATTTTGGATTGCATCCACCCTGATGGATGACAAACAACCAATGATCCAGGAGGTGCTTCTTCTTCAAAATCTGGATTTAATCTGACTCTAGGGAATATTAATAATGGGGGAATATATGAACCCGATGCTGAAAAACAAATAGTCACTGTAACATTTTGACCTCATTCAGCTGATGACAGTTTGCCAACTTGTCTTCGTCCCTTTTGGGAAATTATTTTGGCAGGGGTACGAAACTCCGTGCGTTGGCCGAACCAGGCGATTGAGGCCTTGAACACGGTCTTCAGGAGGGCGTGACATACGTGAAAACCCCGCGTCCCGTATCCCGCCTTAGTCTTGGAACCAATTTTATAATGTACGGGTCTAACATCATGTTGGTGCGGGAACCAATTCCATGTTTTTCGTAGGTTCAGACTTCAGATCATAGGGAACCAATACCCCAATCAGCTGATCGAGTTTCGCTTCTATACTGTTTTATGCTTTTGGCTACATTTGACAATCCCCTTTCAACCACATTAAAATTTGTTCTGGCTTAAAGTGATGAGTTTCATAACATTTTTTTAACAAATCATAAAAACTATTCTCCACCGGTCGATTAAAGCCCATAGCTCGCACAGCCGAAGTCGGTTCTGGGATCCGTACTCACAACTCTGGGTGCCTTAATAAAAAGCCTTTTAACCAATTGACCAACATAAAAAAAATTAAAAGATAATATAACAATAAACTTTAAAATATATAAATAAAAATAATCATTGCTTAATTCACCTGCTAAACCATTTGTTTTATTAAAATTATGAGCAATAATGTTTCTTTCGGCAAGTTCAAAGGCCAGTTTTCTAAAATGATTTTGTGTTAAGCCAAACAAACGACTTTCCAACGTCTTTTAAATATTGTACAAGAACATTTTCTTATTCGATTGAAAATACTTTTTGATAATGTCCTAAATCTATAACAATACAAATTATACTTTTAATTGAAAACAATTATTTCAACACATAATTGACAAGTTTACCATAAGCACTCCCTTATAACCAAATATGTTATCTATCTAATATCAGAAGAAAAAAATGGTGTTCTTAATAAGACATTTTCTGTAATAATATATCAAAATACTTACCATAATATTGTGTAATCATTAAATATACTTTTTAATCCACACTGTTGTACATTTAATTTTCCTTCTTTAACTTTTTTGACTCGATCCTGTAACGTTAAACGAAGAACTTCATAACGAATAGACGCAGCATCATAATTCATACTTCTTTCCACCACAGCTAATATAGCCATTTTCATATCATCTTCCAACCATGATTGTCTGTTTGATTTCCGAATATAATTACGAACCATACTAAAAAAAATAAAACATTTCAATACTAATAAATTGTTTAAATTCAACCATAGCAATTGTCAAAATATCAATGTAGTAAAACCGTACAGTGTATAACCATACGATTTTGCCCCACAAGACTATTAAAAGTTATCGAGCTTCATATCAAACATGAAATGAATGCATTTATACTACATATGTAAATTACACTTCATTAGCTATTGAATATGGCATGATCATATTTAATATTCATGTTATATGTTATTTGTCTATATAATTAATAATTATATTATACCTGTATTATTTTATACTACATTGTTCTACTATAAATAAAAAACAATTTCAATTTAGGACATTATTTTTGCTTAGTCAACAATTTGCCTTATGAATACAATCATGGTTTTATTTATCACAATGACAAATTAAAGTATGTTGGTGTAACAAGTATCTTGTTGGATATATTGTAACAAGATTTTTGTCAAATCGACAATTTGTCTTATTAATATGATCAGGATTTTTATTTATCACAATGACAAATTAAAGTATGCTGTGTAACGTCACAGAATTTTAGGCCTTACTTAATATTATTATAATTCCCCTGAGCATATTATTTTTCATTATTATTATTTCTTATGATTACATTATGATATTATTATATTTATCGCGCGCCAATGCATAAATGACCACAATGTTACATGACACCTGACCCCGGCCCCCACAACCCGCAGTGTCCGCCCGCCAACAGGCCGCTGCCGTTGCCGGTCGTTACCGCCGGTCGCAGCTGTCGCGTCCGTCGATACGCACCGACAAAGCAGTCTGTTTTCCCAATTATTATTGTAAACGTCCCTATAATGCGACACTGACCTTCCCCACCACGTCAACATCAACGGCCACGACCAGCGGCAAGACAACATCAGCCGTCTTCACACACATTTTCCGAGATCGCTGAACGAACCAGACGTTTTGGTACCGTGACGCATCCCGAACTTTTCAACAACGACCACAACCGCGTGTCGACCACCATCACTCCGCGTGTGATTATTATTATTGTTTTTAATCAACGGGAACCAACCGCCATGATGGGCTAAGTACCGCTCACGGGCCCGATGGTGGGCAAAGCTGCTGAACCTGTCAACCTCCGTGTCGCCGTCACCATCCGAGGCGGTTTGATCGACGACAAGATGGGCCATGCCGGCCGCGTGTGTGCCGGTGGTATTAACCAGCCCATCCAGTTCCTCGGTCAACAACACATCTCAAGCTCAACGTCGTCAGAGTAATACCTACAAAATTTTCCCCCCTTCTTTTTTTATTTTTTGTCACTTAAAAGCACGATACTTGTGAAATGTGCGTTGCAGAACGTCCAGGTGTGGTTGCCATTGGGGCCTAGCGGGTAACCTCCTACGCGTTCACATACAGCTGGCGTAAAAAACCAGCTGTCCCTGTGCGCGTTTAAGTAGGGGGCCCCGGACCACACTTACAGACGTTCGACCTTTCATTTCCCCCCCCAAATCATTTAAACTGCCCCGGTAACCCTGTGGAGACCACCACGAGTAATGTGATGTGTCGATCCCCGTGGGCCGAGCGTTGTTTTTTTGTTTCCCATGTGCCCTTTTATATTTTATACCTACTTGCCATGTGCCATGCTATATATTTTATTTTTGTTAAACTGAAAACTGTCAAAACCTTATTTAAATTATCTACAATCAAAAAACCTGTAAAATACATCCACGTGATTACCCTAATATTGCTCTTATTATTTATTTTCATTAACTTATTTATTTTTTTTCTCTCTCTCTCCCCACATAAATCCTCGGCATTCAGCTTGCCGTTGCGTGTATCAAAGCCTGTGAGCTCCACCGACTTGACCCTCGGGTCTCACGCGGTGCGGCTCACAGGTCATGAGGAAAGTGTTCCCCTTTCGTCATAGGTGGTTTTGGTGGCCTTAAAAAGTCACTAACTCTCACAGCTGGTTTAACAAATATCTTGTTAGCTAAATAGTGTAACGTGCAGCCCTTTCAGAATCCAAACGATGATGCAGTTTGAAATAATAAAACTAATTTCAAGTAATCAAATGTGTTTTTAATTATTTAGAACAGTTTAATTATGATTCCGTGGTAGTAGCGGTATAGCGGTGTGAAATGGCTGGTGGCGTGAAGTGACTTCAGTCTTGCTGGTCCAGGTACATCTGATCAGGCTGTGCTCCTGTCTCTCTTATATATGCTGTCAGCTCCTTTGATCTGGTCAGCATACGGAACTCGTAGGCGCCGGGCAGGACCCGTTTGGACCAATTTTTCTAAAACACCACTCGTTTGGACCAGCATTTTCCTTCCCATTTTATTTTTAACAGGCAAAGGACTGTCTTTGGCATGGTTAAAAATGCTATTTGTTATTTTTATTATTATTTTTTAATTGTGTATAATATTAAAAAATAAATAGGTATATTAGGTACACATTTTTAATTTTTTAAATATGAGTCGACTGAATTACGAAAATTTATTTTTTTAATGAACTATTTAAATTCGAGCTGCTTGAAGCATTTGTTCAATAAACTTTACATATGTCAATTGAGATATCTCACCATTTTTATATTGTGCCCATCGTACATGTAGTATGTTGAGTTTTTTAAGTGTGTCATTTCTTTGAACATTAATTTTATTATTTGAAATTGATGATATTTTCAGCATAGTTTGAACTTGGAAATCTTTAAGAACGTCAATTACTTGGAAAACGTTTGGATGGGGTGTATAAAATTGTGAATTATAATGAGAGTGAAACGATTCAGGACCATTTGTTGTACGTGGTGAATCGGAAGGTTCTGCTGCCCAAAAAAAGGATTAAAATCTGCATCTTCTGAAACGTAATAATTTAATAGTCAGCAAAGTGAGTAACGTGTTCGATATTGGGAGAAGTAAACATCACTTGAGCAGTAACCTATCTCCAACTTCAGATGGTGGTAAAAAAGATAACCCATAAAAATATCTTAACCAATTTTCAACTTCTGAGTTTTCTTATTTGTATTTACCATGTACTAAAAAAATTGGCCCAAACAGGTCACAAATTCCTGGTCCAAACGGGTTGCATTTTTATTAGTGACTTAAACGTCCCTGGCCCAAACGTGCCTCGCCCCAGGCGTCTTGGGTGTGGTCGTAAAACTTGTTGTTGTTGTTGTCGTAATGAAGAAACCCCTCCTCATAGATTGTTATAAGATTGCTAAATGCTTCTACAAGGAGAACCGCATAATAAGTAAAACCGGTTTATACTACCTTCAGTTATACTTAATACGTACATATTAATACATGCCCATTACACCTCCCCGCCAAAAAAAAAAGGTTATAAGCCTGTAAGGCGAAGAAAATTTAACAATAATATTTTAGGTTCAATAGTTTACAGTAATTGATTTACAATTTGACATTCATTTTACATTTAGTTAATTACACATTTTTGATTTTACATTTATCAATTACAATTTATATTTTATAATTAGATGATATTTACAAATTTAATATCATTTACATATATATTTTTTTTATATAGTGAGAAAACATTTCTTTTACCTGAAATTTTATCTAATTAAATTTTTGTAAGTCTTAAAATAATGTTAGTTAATTATATAATATAAATTTTCATTCCCCTGTAATATAATTGTATTTAATATTTATAATCCTTCACCAATTAATCTTAAATACTATAATACGTTTATCTGTGTGAATAATATTATGAATTTATTACGTACGTATGCAAAATATGAATTAAATTTGAACTATTTAGGGTAGTCGAGTATATTAATTGAATTTGTTGTGTTTTCTATTATTTTCAGTAATTTTTTACATTCACCGTTACAATGATCATTCACAATCATTCGATGTTTCTATTATTTTCTTTAATGTTATACATATGTACTTCTTATATTTTTTAATTCTTCAATAAATCTAAAATAACATATCCGTATTAAATCTAAGTAAAAATTCTTAAATAATATTATCCCTTCACCCTGAAATAATTTTTATACTATTTATATTTTTATTATAATATATATTTATTTTTTTTTAGATTTTTCTATAGTTTCTACTTAATTTATATAAATAAATCTGTTTTATCTTCAGGACAACATAGTTAAATATACATTTTGTTAATATTACATCGGCTATTGTATCGTGACACGAAGACTCCCGGGTTTGATGCCTTGCGGCTACAACCGTGGACCTCACATTAGCGCTGTGAGCTAGTCGAGAGCCGCGGAGTTTCACGGTCGACGTGCGGTGGAGTTACCCACCTGCCGTCGGCCGCGCGTCGTCTAAGGACCACGAGCACCGGGCGCACACCCTTTCCCACCGAAGTCGGGAGAGAGTGCGCCCGTACCGTTGATTAAGGCGTGCACGGAGCACGTGCCCTTCGTCACCCAGGTAGGGTCGCAAGCTTTCCTCATTGCTTCCCGTTTTTAGTCACGGGCAACCTCCGGTGCATATAGCCCCACCGGTAGGCTGGGTGGGCGCTAAGGAGTTTCTCACTCGGCAACCTTCCCCTGGACCGTGCTTTTGGTCTTTTAACCACATGGTTAGCTCCCGCTAACAACCACTCCGAAACCAAACCGCTGCCGACCGCCGTGTGAGTTCACGGCGTCAATCAACTCGACGCCGCGGGGCCCCCCCCACATCCCGAAGTACCATTCACGCCCCCGTTAGGAAGGCCCATCAATGGTGGGATGGTCGGACCTAGCTTCGTCGACCGAGAGCCTCAGCTGTGGTCCTACCGAGATTAGGATCGTGTATCACGGGCTCACGGTGGGCCCTACCAGAGGCGGTCGCCCTGGCGTGGTAGCCGCGACCCCCGAGTTCGAGGCTCGGTAACCGGTTCCACGCCTCCCAGAGGCATCACCGAGGTGATCGACTCGCTCTTCACGGGGTCGCAGTCAAAACCCCCAACACCATAGTCCCCGAGGGTTTTGGTGTGTCCTCGTCCCAGACGCCGGCCCCGTCTGGCCATTTCCCTTTTAGTCGCCTCTTACGACAAGCAGGGAATA